ATAAGACCAGCATGCTGATGTCCAACTGTAAATAAACTCTATCTCACTGCAGGTTTTAGTACCAGGGTTAATATGTTTTACAAAGTCATTTTGCAGCTATGAAATAACTTCATGGACATAATTTGCAATTGAACAAAAAGGTGATAAATCACAATGCAGACTATTGCAAAATGTTAAAAATCAGGTGAGGGCATCACCATCAGATGGTGGGTTCTACCTGCAAGCAGCATCGATGAAAACTGATGATCAATCCAACGGCTGCCGAGGTTTCTCACTCTGTATCAAAGTGGACAGAAAGATGTACCAACTGGCCTATAAGTGCTATGTTTCCTTGAGCTGTGGCATGAGCACTCAGTCTGTTTTGACATCTTTTTCCTCTTGCCACATCGGAGAAAATTAGAAATGATAGTTTGTTTTCTGCAAGTTATTGAGAGTAATGTGAGCGGGGAAAAACACACTCTCATATGCGAGTACTTGTCTGGAATTACATGTAGAGCATGTCAAACTTCCATTATGGGATTCTTCCAGTAAAAGTAATCAACTTTAAGTACGTTTGGATTTTGGCCTGAGCCCAGGTCCTGAATGGACAGCCTCAGCGACTTTAAAACTGTGCAAACATGTAAGATTAATTTTAGGATCAGCAGCAGGGTTATGTAGCCAACGTGTAGCTGTAGGTTGCTGGATATCGAGCCAGCTTTTTGGGGGCTCCCCCACTATGCAATGCCATTCCTTGTCTAGAGTGTAACGGGTGCGTGACTCCTCCCATTACTAAATCAGCAGAAATCGGTCAAACCTTTCCTTTCTTACTAAGGCTGCCCCGCGAGCAAGGAGGATCGAGTTTCAATGAAGTTTGCTTTTTCCATGCTGTGAATACAGATGTCAACTGCCAGTGGAGGGTCTAGCTGGTGCCACGGCTGGCTATGCATGTCTGAGCAGGGACTTGGCTGGCTGATCACAGCCGAGGGGTGCCGGGCTGGGTTCAGTGGGGGAAGATGCCTGGAAAGTAGAGGGGCTTTCCACATTTCAGCTATGTCTAAAAACTCTTTTGATGTTTTGCCTGGCTTACTCTGATGTTCACGTTCTGTGTGACAGACCCTTCCTCTCTCTGTTTTGTATAAAAAAACCTTCTCGCTCACCTCCCTTCTGTTGTAGATCGCACGTCTCCGGTTAGAAAATCTCGCTTGTTTCAGTGGGATTATGGAAAATCTATAACAGGTGGGCTTTGTTTTAGGGATACGTCTTTTCTAATTATGTGTTTGCAGTATGATTTGGGTGGGTGGCCTCTGGGCTAAATGGTCTCTGAATTCTAGTCTGCTGCCTGCCTGCTCTTTGTTCCATCATGGCAGGTTCATAGAGTTCGGTGATGTTTTTGTGTTAACTGAATTACAGGTAAAATCATCAGGGCATCAGAACTAAAACTATCTGAAATTAAAGCTCAAAACTAAAACTGAAAGATTTTTAAGATGTTCATTTTACATACAGAAGCGGCGCTATTTGCCATCACAGCCAGAGTGCTGTGTCATTATATAGATGGTACCAAAACAGCACCTTGGTAGCAGTTAATGGTTTAAATGTATACTTGGCAGTCTTTTTAAGGAGCTGACTAGCTGTCTTTAAGGTTTAAGGAGAGGTGATCATGAGAGGTATCATGTTGACCTGACAGATTGCTGGTACACTATCCACTCAATAACAGTGGATTTTTAATTTTTTTTTACTACCGTTTCATCAACCAAAACATATTTGGAGGCAAAAGACACAAAAGAATCTCACGTTGTTGGATCACTTAAGGATAGTGGTTTTAAAGTACTCAGCTGGGAAGGGAAAGGCAATAGGAAATGTGGTCGGATGGTATTTGACCTCATACCAGAAACAACAGAGTGCATCGTGTAGCTGCAGAAAGAGGTTCATTTGACTCCCGAACCTCATGCATACTTGGTCCCAGCAGACACCAGGTACCGGCCAAGGAAAAGCTAGTGGTCACTCATCCTGCACTTCTTGTAGAACATTGTTCAAGATGGTGTGCTTTTATTTGGCTTGCGTTTAAAGCATGGAAGTAATAGTACCACAGTGTGCAGGAAGATTGGGGGTTTGGCTGTACTTCTACTGTCCTTTCTGGTGGACCTTAAAATTAACTTTGCCACTCAAGGTTTAAATGTCAGGAGAATTCGTAGTGTCCAACTACATTAGAAGAAAAGAATAATTTAACGTGTGATGGGAAGCTTGTGCTCGACAGTGTGAAAAGATGTAAATATTATCAGCATCTCCTTCGGCCAGGTTCTACTGTTAGCTAGCTGTATGTTTCTTTTGGCTGCCAAATGCAGACTTTAGATAAAAAATAGTTTGTGGGCCTTGTGATTTCTGAAAAGAGACTGATTCAGAGTTTTGTTTTTTCCTTATTTTGTATTTGCCTTGAGTTCCAAGGCAAGTAACATCTAAGTTGACTTGATTTGCTTCTCACATCTGGATCTTGTATCCTGAACAAATCCTAATTGTATTTTTATTTTGCTTTGTTTTATTGTGTTCCTTTCAGATGTGCCAGATGAAATATATTAGGACTTGACTTTTGGCATAGAGTCTTAATATGGAGCTCTAGCAGGTAATTTCAGTTTTAGGGAAAAAAGGCTTAAGCAGCTTCTTTGTAATGGTGAGCTTTAGTACCAGCCTGGTCTATGCAGGTAGTTGAAATTGGGTCAGACTTTCCCCTAAATGCTTACTGTTAAATGCCATATTTTGACACCAGGTGGGGATCAGTGGATAGCCTTAATTATCAGCTCTGTACAGGAGCAGAAGGATGACAGATAGCGCTATCTACTTAATTACATTGGGACATGTTGATTATCTTCTTATCATTTACTACTCTGGCAGTCCTTTAGGGTCTTGTTATTCATACTTTTGTGACTTTGAAGGATGGCTGCTCATTTTTACGAAAGCATCGTTGTTCCATCAAGATAATGGCACACAAAGAGAGAGTTGGGGGAGGACAGACTCAATGTAACTGGATTAGCTCTTATGCAATTGCTCCTTGAGGTGCTGTTGATGGCACACCCATCACCAACCACGTAAAAGGATTGTGCTAGCTTTCTTAAGCCGGCCTGCTTCATCTGAAAGAGTGACTCATCTTTTAATCAGCCAAAATAATGTGTACTGATGATGCACAAAAGCTGCTGCTGAGTTTGATGAGCACTTGGTTTCGAGCCTGATTGGAACTGCAGAATTCAGCATTTTTGGATCTTGATTCATATTAGTGGCTACACCTCTTTATGGCTAAAAATATACCACAATATTGAGTTAACATTACTAGGAAAAACCTAAATTGTACTATGTTGTGCCGTCATTCACTTTGGGTGACCTTTTAGTGATATTGCAGGGAGTCCAGTCCAAATTTCACATTGGGTCACACAATCAGTCTGAAGTCTGGCAGGAAGGAGTACCCACGGCTCTCTAGTAATTGTGTACATGAGCACATCAGAGAGTGCGTTAGGCTCTCTGTTGGCGTGAGAGTTAGCTTGTGACCTGTTGTGAGGATTACAACTGAGTGATATGTCTGTATGGGACGGTGCCAGGAGCAGCATACCCTCCCAACAGCAAGCTCAGATAGTGATGGAAGACTTGACCTCTTTATAACTGATTTATAACTGTTCACGTTTGCAGTGGTCGAAGACCCCAGTTTATTTATAACGGAGTCAATTACATTTCAATACACGGAGCTGGATTAACTTCTAGTAAGGAGTGTGATCTACAGACGCTTTTTTTTAAATTTTTTATTTTTTATACAAATTAAGAGAAATATTAAATTTGAACTTTTTATTTAAAACAGAAAAATGAAGATGAGGAAAAAAACCTGCAAATTCAGAGGAACAACAGTTAAATGTGTTCTATGCTGACATTTTAATTACCCGACTGCTTCCAAACCACAATTTGATAATTTGCCCATATGTTTCTGCATCTACTTTGTGCTTCTTCATGTATATTGTCATGCATCACAGACAAAATATTTGGTCACAATCAAATAAAAGGCAGGCGCACCATACCTGTGCATGGTGTGCTTCCATTGTAGGTTCACATCATTAAAAACAAAAACAATATTTTCTGCTAACCAATGCAGAATGCTCTTCTGTACTTTGGTAACAATCTCAATCATCTTATTAAACACACACACCGGCACGCATGTACACACACATACACACACGTACACACAGTTTCCATGGAAACAGAAACCAGGGCCTTTTATGATTGGTTGTTTGCCCAAGACAACCAAAAATGGTCTCGGCAGCCATGCAAAGATGGGAGATACATCATTTGTATAATGAGTAATGGGACATACACTAATGAAGAAAATAAGATGTTTGTTGTTGCCTGAAGGAGTCTTGTCACGAAATTCGATCATGAAATTGTCATCGAGTATAAATTGAGTATAAAACCCAGTTTTTCAGTCTGTTTAGGGTGACGGCAGACATCTCGGCTCTTTTTTTTTTTTTTTCTCTGTTATGTTCTCAGACTGCATGTGATGCGTTTGAACAGGCGTGGAACTGCCACTAACGTGGACAGTATCTGTAATAACCACACACAGGCACAGATTCGGGAGCAAACACACACACACACATATGGACACTTTCCCCTCATGCTGCCCTTTAGTTGCCTAATGTGTGTCTGAGGTGCAGATGGCTAAACGGTAGGAGGGCTGCTTCTGTGTTAGCCATGGTGCTAGCAGTCTTAGATTTGGCTGGTCCTGGCCTGCTGGAGCGAGAGTGAGCGGCCAGCTACCCCCTCTCAGTGACGATGGCAAGTGTACAATTCACGGCTGTGCACTCGCTCAGCATCAAGCTTTACTGTAGTTGCAGGACAAACCTGTGTATTTCTTTTCACAGGAGCCAAGCGGTGTGGTCATTTGACGCTCCGCTGTGGATTAACAGTGTCATTTTGGCTCTTGTGATGTTTTTATGTGTGCTGGCCTGCTTTTTAATTCAGTTGTTTTGATACATTTGTGTTCACAATCACAGGAAGCAAGCTGACCAAGGACCTGAAGCAGTATCTGAGCCAGCGCTTCCAGAAGTCCTCGCCTGACCACGAACTGCAGCAGACCATCAGAGACAACCTCTACCGTCACGCTGTGCCTTGTGAGTTCATGACATGTCTTTTGCTGAATCCTTCTTGTGTCTTTCACATTCCGTTCTTTTTAATAAGTATGCATTCAAGAAATGTATGAGACTTGCATCAAAACACATAATTAAAGGAATCATACAAACGCATACATCAAAGTCTGTCCAAGTACAGTATACATCTTCAGAAGATTCTAGGGTACGTGACCATCAGTCATTTATCCAGTGCTCTTCCTCATCCTCACATCAGCAACGATATTCTTAAAGAACATCAGTATTGATCAGTCTTATGCACATGATTAACCATCCCTAAATACTGTTTAAGCAGTAGCGTATTACCATTACCAGGGGACAGTGTTGTGTAAGCATCCAAACAAAATCAGAAAACTCTTCGTTTAGGTCATTGCAAACCGCCGTCTCACATCCAGGCTTCATTAGTTTTAGATCCATGTATGAATGAGTTTGCTTGCCTCACACAGACCCTTTACCGCTGTTTCTAATTAAGCCTGATTGTTTGTCTTTAAACCAATATTGGCCGTGCAATTAGCAGGACTGATTGCTTCATATCCTGTTCCTGAAAAACCTTAATCATGACTTCATCTGTTTAATCACACAACATTTCTGTTCATCCCGCTCTTCTGCCTTCTTTCCAAACTAATCATCGACTAGTTGACACAAAGTTAGGCATGCTGCACGCACCACCCATCCTGTCAAGTAACGTCCAGTTAGATCAAGGGAAAAAATATCTGCCGTTTCCACAATGGAGAGTGTAGTCTGTGTAGGGTCAAGTTTGTGAAGACGTTTTACCGCTCATCCAAGAATATTCTTCACTTATTCGCACATTTATGGTGTGTTCCTGAATAAGTTGAAAGTTGGATTTTTTTCCTGCTCCCAGTAGGAACACCCTCTCAACTCTGATGTCCTACTCACAAAGTTTGAGCAGCCCAGAGTTAACAGTCCATGATGGCGGCATTGAACATAGAACTTTGAAACTTCTCTGTAATGCCACTGTTGTGTATTTGTGACTCACTAAATAAGCCATACTCAGAGCACTGACCAGGCCATATCCATGAATGTGCTTTTAAGTGCAAAAGACAAGTGTTTTGCTGAACTGCTAGTAATGCCTGGATCGCTCTACCTGGTTTTTCGTGTTTTTGGGAACATGCTAACTCAGGAGTGGTGTCACTCCCGAGTTCTGTGGTTTCTGGAATGCAGCGTTAACCCCTAGTGGGGATTGCGGTCTTTGGAGGTGGTCCTGACCTATCAATCATGTGAGTCATCACATAAGCCACGGTGTGAAGAAAGGGGTGTCATTAGCATAACCAGGGGTTAAAGGTAAAACCAATGTAGGGCCTTGCCCCACTCTATCATATTGCCTATTGAGATCCATTTAGGTTAGGTGTGAGTGTTGGAGTTAAAGAACCTGGGAGGAGGTCTTAAGACTGCATTGTAAGTGGCTGATAGCTGGTATCATAAGCCACCACCTCTATTCACCTTTTTGTTTTTTACTTAAGAAGCCTCTTGGATGATAGATAACATGTCTTCGCAAACCTCAAAAAGTAGATTTGCCTTCTTTTTACCAGCATATAAGACGATGAATAGCCTAGTAGTATCTCATGACCACTGGATCAATAAAGGCAGTAAATATAGTACCTGTAGCTTCATCAGCATCCCTCTATCACTAACCAGTATCTTCTCTGGTTGGATAATCCAGGAATAGAGGCCTGGTGTCTTTGATGTGTTTTTTCTTAGTGTTGATATAGCAACAGTTATTTGAAAGCACATTTATTTTCTAATGCCACATATTTCTCTCATATCTACTGCTTCAAAGTGGAATTAGACATTTGAAGTTTCATTCTCTGCTCCAGGAAAAAAACCACTTGAATACAGTGTTGGTGCTAATGATGTGGTGTTATTGTATAAACAACATAATAGCATTCTTATAGACAGATGATATTGCTAGAGTAGATTTATGCCTGTTGCCAATTTTGACTTAACCTTGAATTGCACAGGACATTGAAAGTGGTCCAGTTGGACCAATCAGAGGATAGTGAATCATTATCCTGCTGCTCGAGTTGGAAATCCCTACTTATCGTGGTTACAGAATGCCTGACTTATAATAAGCGAGGGGGAAAGAGCAAAACTGCATAAATGATTGGCTTGTCTGCAAATGTCTCTACTCAGCATTTTAATATTTGCATCTGTGGTGCAGTGATATAGTGATCTTTAGTAATATCCATCAGTCTCACAATAGCAATATTACATAATTTCACAATTTCCACAATAAAAACTTTGCTTGTTTTTTTTGTTTTGTTTTTTTGTATAAATTAAAATCCACAGTATGCAAATTGCGATGAAAGTGTTCATCAGCGTTATTCAACAGCTAAATGGTTTCCATGTCCTCGCCATATTGGATTTTAAGTTCATTCTTTTGGAATTGGATTTGAAAAGGATCTGCCGAAGGATGAAAATGTTCATGGTTCTTATCAGCTGGCTTTCTTTAATTAGTTTATTCATGGTCTCTCACACAAATTACTATCTGACTTTGTCTGCATTACCTCCACTGCCATATGTCAGCTAGACACTGGTAGATGGTGGGAGGGGCCAGCCGTTTTAATTACGGAGTGGTCCGAGGCACACCAGTAAAAACCTCGCTGCTGTTGGCAGCAAACGGTGCATGAAGGTGTTCTCCGGGCCACATGTTTAATAGGACTCTAAAGTTTTCATTGTCATGGCTCGTAGTGGAGAGTCCATCTTTTACCAGAATATTGAATTCAGAGATGCTTTGCAACAGCTTAATATTTTCTTTGTGTTATTTGAGGTCATGTTGCATGGGGCAGTGACTAAATGTATCCTTATGCCCATCACAGTCAGAGCAAAAAGCACGTGTTTGTGAAATGGGTGTGTTTGCATTTGACCTGCAGTTGTGTGAGGTCAGTGTTTATCTTTGTTTATAATGGTCGGATCCTTGATCAAGGCGCTTTCACATGTTCCTGTGCTCGTGTGATTTTATTTTATTTTTTTAAAGCAAACAGCAGGTGGAGAAACAGAAGGAGAGAGAGGTCTGGTGTAATTTGGCAAAAATTGTATTGCAGCTTAATCAACCTTTCTACACTTTTATAGTCCTCCTGTCACTGTCAGAGCACTATAGGTCAAAATCCATGTATTACCTGTGAGCTGCTTGACATTTAGCTCAGTTCAGTTTTATTTATATAGCACCACAGCAACAGTCGCCTCAAGGTTCTTTACATTGTAAGGTACACTGTACAATAAATGGAGAGAGAACCGCAACAATCAGGTGGCCCGCTGCGAGGAAGCACTTGGCAATGGTGGGAAGGAAGAACTCTGTTTTAACAGGAAAGCTCATGGAGGGGGAGCTATCTGCTGCGACTGGGTGAGGGAGACGAGAAAAACGGCAGGATCCAGATTCTTTAGAGCTCCAATGTCGGAACTCGGGAGTGACGTCGTTCCAAAGTCAGTGCATTCTAGAAAAAACATGGAAAAACAGGCTTTGCTTTGGTTCTTAGCAAGGTAAAGAAATTGATTTAAGATTTATTCTGGAAATCGGCAAGAATATCACACACACTGGTTCCCTAAACAACTACACAACAACGGAGGGATTAAACAGTATTTTGTAACAGTTTTCAGTGCGTGTTTGCTGTCTGCTGTCCATACGCCACTTCACTATATCTTAAACTTGAATGTAGCTTTATTTTAAAAAAAAACATAAGCAGCTGGTGTAAATATCCTAATGTTCAGTTTCAGAAAAAACAGTTAGACACACTCGCTTCATAGAAAAATGATTGGAGGCTATTTTACCATCCAACCAGCAGTTTTAAAAAGGCACAGTGGAATTGGACTAATTATATAGTTAAGGGGTAAAAACCAGATAAAAATGAACTTTTAAAACATGGTTGGAGAAATGACTAACAAGAAGTGCAAGAGAATTTTTGTTGTTGTTGTTGTTGTCATTTGTCCATAAACTAGTTTCCTCACTCGCATGTCCAAAAAAGTCAGCTGTCCCTATAACCCTGTTAATATTTGAAGCACAGCACTCCCACCCTCCCCCATCTGCCGAGGCATTTATCTGCTTCCCTTGTGGTCATCCCATCTGTACGTCAAACATTCCCAGTCTCCCATTATCCCCACCGACCCTCCACTCCCTCTATCCTCCTCCTCTTCATTCCTGACCCCCCCAACTCATGACACCACTGCCTCTCGTCCTCCCGCTGCCACTGCTGCTCCCGTTCTCCTTCTGTATCAGTCTTTGTCTTCCTCTTCTTTTTTTCCTCCCTGCCAGTTACAACGATCGGAGCAGTAGCAAGAAGAAGACGGTTGCTCTGTGGGTTTAATACCTGATATTTAAATCTCGCCGTTCTGTGTCGACAAGCCTTGAAAAGGGAGCTCTGATCTCGCCTGCATCAAGGCAAGTAAGCAGTATTGTCTGCTGTAGTTGTTGTGATGCCGATGGCTTGGGGATCGCTCCTCAAATGGACAGGGTTTGCACAAGTCTGTGTTCACGTGCGTGTCTGTCTGTGTGTGTGTGTGTGTGTGTGTGTGAGTGATGATGAATTGCGGGACTGGCAGTGCAGACAATTGGACGACCCGTATATAGGCTAAGAGGACGGCTTGGAGGGAGGTGTGGGCTGAAGCCGTGGGGATCGAGATGGGGGTAGGGTGGAGTTTGGGTGTGGGAGGAGGGCAAGAAGCGGGGGGGATGGGCAGAGAGGAGAAAAGAGAGAAGGGATGGAAAGATTGGGGGACAAACACACTCAAATCAGTGTTGATTCTAGCTAGCTAGTCAAGCTAACATAAACATGAATAAGCATTTAGATGTATAACCTGTGGTTGGATCAGAGCTCACTGTCCTGTCCAATACGAGCGGGTTTTCGTCTGTGTCAACAACGGACACACAAGCCGCCTCTCTAGTCATGCTTTAAAAATTGCAGTCGGAGATGCAATCACACAGTGGTACCTCAACAAAGCAAAAGAAATGCACAAAGCTCTGAGAGTGGCGG